AAAAAAAAAAAAAAAAAATCAAAAAAAAAAGCAACAAAGAACAGAAATTATACACCCGCTCAGAGGTAACTTGGAGATAACTGCACCCTCAGGTCTTCAACTTTCCTCACACCAACTTCTCAACTTTTTAATCGTTTTTATTTCTCCGCCCTCTCCACCTCCCACATGGAAACAAAAGATGACTCATCAGCTAAAATAAGCACCTGGGACCGCCAAAAGGCCACACTTTTGCTTAGTTTGGCTTAGGGCATTTGGCAAGTCATTTTACTGATCTGACATCTTGGTTTGACTCTGACCCTCCTTCCCCTTATCCCAGCCTGACAGCACAGAGGGACAGCGCAGCACCAGGACCTGGCCACAAACTATTTATAGGGCTTAATTAAAGCAAGCACAAACCCAGGGAGTCTAAACATTTGCAGCATCTGAACAATTCAGCTCTCCAGGGGAAGCAACTGTTGCACTGGGGATCCGATCCCCTCTCGAGTCCTCCCCCTGCTCTCGCCAGCTCGCTGGGGACTGCACAGGGCACGGACGTTCTTCCGCCGAGCGCTGCAGCGCCCTTAYCATATCTGGCTTAGCTAACGCTGCATCAGGAAGAGGAACTGATAACGAAAACCCAAAACCTGCTACGTGGGCTCAGCCAGGGGCAACGTGATTATTGCACCAAGAGAGATGTGCAGCCACAGGCCTCCCGTACTAGAAGGGAGGGGACAGGCTGGTGTGTCACTCCCCATTAAAAAAGCATTTTGTGTGAGACAGGCAGTAAGTTTCCTGCTTTCCAGGCTGACCACCCTAAGAGATCCAAGGCCAACAAGTGTAAAAAGCAGGACTGGGAAGCCTGGCCTCCAGCAGAAGAGCTGGCCCCATTGCATCCCCGTGCAGAAGCGCCCACGCTGCATGCAGAGGCGTATGATGAAATATTCATCATCCGCCCCGGCGCTCTGATGTGTCATCTACAGGTGGGCACCCTTTAAACCTTACCCCAAAGCTGCCTACCCCAAGCCGGGTATCTGTCAGCACAGACACAGGCAAYGCAAGTCAATCTGTCATCTCAGCCACCTCTAGCAGATACAATTTCACAGCACTGCTCTAGCTAGCTTCACTGTTAGGGCTTTCCAAGAAGTCTGGAACGGCTGAATAGTGAGAAACACAAGTTCAGTAGAGCAAAGAGCTGGGAGCAACTGTTAAAGCTTTAAAGCAAAGAAAATACAAATAAAGACTCAGTCTCCACGGTATTATCACAGTTGTGCTCTCCCACAGCGAGGCTATAAACTCACATAAAAGCACAGGCACAAAGCATGGACTGGCAAAACGTAGCCCAGCCGCTCGTAATGCACCACCTCGACAGGAACGGTCCACCACAGGAGCACTCCATTTCCATACGGATGGAAAACGTGCCCTGATGGGAGGTGAGGACAAGTTATGGTGTATAAGAAGCTTTTTTAGAGAGAGGGTACTGAKGAAGATTCCCTACAAGCCAAGAGGTCTTTCTTCCCATCCAACACTCTCTAACCAGAGGCCAGGGAACCTCATCAGTTCTTTGTGCCACCCCAAGGGATGGCTTTGACCCTGTGATTTTGCTGCCTGCCAGAACAGCAACCCCAAAGGCTGCTCCAGGTCTCCCCTAAGAAATGAGGGATGTTGTTACCTCTCTGGGAGCGTGAGTCTTAGTTTCCTGGCTGGATTAAATCTGCTATCTTGACAGTGATGTTAAGAGTAGCAGCGCATGGTGAGTGGGTTAGTGGGAAYCAGACAAGCTTGCTGTTAAAACCCAAAACTTTGGAGAAGAGGTAAAGCACGTTGAATTTTCATCACTACCCACAGGAACATGATCAYATGGTCACTCAGTGCTTATGGCAGCAGACTGGGGCAGTAGACAAGCCACGGTCTCTTCCCAGCTCTACTGCAGATTTGCTTCATGGTCTTGGGAAAGGCAACTCAGAGGTGCATGTCTCCTTCCAGAAGGCACGCAGACCTGAGCTGCTCAGCAATGTTCAGAGAAGACTGCTCATAAAAAAAAAAANAAAAATAAAAATAAAAATAAAAATAAAAATAAAAATAAAAATAAAAATAAAAATAAAAATAAAAATAAAAATAAAAATAAAAATAAAAATAAAAAACAGAGTTTTTCTTCCTAGATTTCATTCATAAAAATCAGGAGAATTCTAGTGGCTGTTGTAAGAAAAAAACCCCAGTTATCTCATTTGGAAGACCAACAAAGGCCAGCTTCAAGTGTCCTTTCTGCAGGGCTGAGAAGCGCCGCTGGGAGGCCTGGCACCAGGGCCCAACGCAGCTATTTCCAAGTCATTATCCAAGGCCTGGCTCCCCAAGGCCTCTTGGTTTTCCCTAGCATCTTGCTGAGACTAATGGGGACTGACTTTTTGACTCTCTTTTACCATCCAGTTTCTTAAGCAAAAGCAAAGCATTCTGATCCACTTGGAAATGGTGGGATTAAACCATTTTCCAAACAATTTAGGGTTTTCTTTTCTATGGAGAGCATTAAGCAAAGCAATGATTTTCAGCATTTTCCATGGGAAAAAAAATTATATATTCAAGCACGTCTAACTCCGTCCTCTAAGACAGGAAGCTGCAGGGATTTACTCTGACATGTAAGTCTCTGCGACAGACTTCTAGAATACCATTAAAATAAGCACCCCCAGAAGGGGAAGAAATGTTTCACATCTTATGCAAGTGGAAACTGTGAAAATGAAAAGAGAGGAAAAGTCTTCCTTCTTCTGAACACTGGTCACAATGTCTGCCCTGCTCCCCTGCCATTTGTGCACCTACTTCTAAGGTGAGCCTAGACAGTGCTGGTGTAAGGGCCTTCAGCATCCCAGCCCCATGTGTTGGAGATGTCAACGCTTTAGAGGCCAGCACCATGTTATGGATAGTCCGGCCCATATGGTCATCAGCAGAGATGCCTCTGCACCACCAAAGAGACACCCAGACGTCATRAAGAGCCAAACAACTGCCAGATGCAAGAACCCTACCTTCCTCCAAGTCATTTCTCAGAGAAGCCTCCAGCAGAGCAACGCTGGCTTCAAAAGATACTTTCTTTCGGTTAACGGCGCTTCTCTTCTTCTCATGCTTGCGCTTCTTGTGCTGCATCTCCTTCTCATACTGCGCCCACTTCTTCAGCTGCTGGGCTCTCCGCTTCTGGGCTGCCCGCAGCCTCTCCAAGGTGGGCACCTTATCCAGCAGCTGAAGCTCTGTCAGGAGATCCACGTGGGCATCCATCGCTTCCGCTGAGAGAGGGGAGATGAAGGACACCCCAGCTAGAAACGATGTCCTGCCGCAGGCCCTCTGGATTGCAGCTGCCTGGTGCTATACCAGCATCTTGGGGCCGAGCCGCGAACAGTCCATGGCAGCGTCTGGTGAGAAGATGGTGGAACCCTGCAATGACAATCAAAGTGTGAGGGACCAGGTCTTATCCTCCCATGCAGAGAAGCAGTGAAGAGCAGCCCACTGGAAAACTCAACAGGCAACACCTACCATCTCAAAAGAAAGATCATTTGATTGCATTTTAATTGCTTTGTTCACTGGTCTTTGTAATTCCACCTCTCATCCGCTCCAAACACCCACTCCTTCATGTGAAACCCTCTTGATTAAATCATAGCACACGGTTTTTCACAGCTATAGTTCAAGGCAGAGCTCCCATTTATGAACAGAAAACTCTTGTGAGCTATCAAATACAGATATCTGCATATCTGAGATCATTCCAGAGACAACTTAGGAGAGATTCATATACTGAGACATATCCTACACATCAGCTGGCCCCTTCCCACATAATGTTGCCCCTTCCTCTTGTAGGGGTCCCCAACATCTCACCAGAGCTGCACTGCACTGGAGCTTGCTGGCARTCCCCTCAATGAAGCATTTCAGTCCAGGCGGCAAAGCCCAAAGCAGAGGAGAACGTAAGGCATGAGAAGATAAGGTCTGAGAGGACCTGACTTGCACTTTCCTGGTACGAGCCAGGAAGAAAACCACGGGCAGTGAATCAGCCCAGCRCCACAGACACCAGGCAAGGCTGTTCCAGCTAAATAAATCATAAGCTGGAGCCTTGTGAGGTTACTCAGCCCGTGCTGAGGCCCACGTGGGGTTGTTACTGCTCTCTGGCAAAGCCTCCCAGATGAGCTCTATCTAACGAGAGCATCATCTGCTCTCAGCTGCCTCGCACATCAGCACCTTCTTACCACAACTCGAGCTGCGGGCTTTTGCCACAGAGGATGTGACTCTTACAGAAGCTTTATTAACACTTACACTACCTCAGCTACTTAGGGATATGGGGGTTTGTGTTCATTTCTCTTTTCCCTCCAGATTTTCTCTTAACTGCTTGTTATCTCCTTCTGGTCCAGCTGTTCAGCAGTGCAAGAAYCCCATGGGCACAGCTAAATCACAGGACCCAGTGGCACCACCACATTAAAACCCAATGAACAGCACTACCCACCATCAACTGGAAGACTTGCCCACAGTCACTTAATCATTTCTGCTCCACATTTAGCAGGCCAAGAGAAAAGATGGAGCTTAAATAACGTCAGTGTTGCCAGCAGACTGAATGAACCTGTTCCAAACACAGGACTGTACGGCACATCTAATAGCAAGGTCATCCTGCCTATTAAATTAAGGCAAGTTGCACATAAACTCATAAAATAGGAGAGCTCTGATGGATCAGCCAGTTTGAAAAATAAAAAGTGGATGGGGACAGCAGGCCCTGGGGAGCTTGACTATTTGCAGACACCTGAATCTCCTCCCACTTTTCATGATAGTGAGAAGCGAGTCACTCCTTCCCCCGCTCTCCTACCCCAAAAGAGAGAAAGTAACAGTCTTGCAAGTGAAAAGACGCAAAGTGTCTGCAGGAGAAATAGCTGCAAAACACACGTAGCTAGAGATGGGCGAGAGATCTGGTGAGATAGCAAAGCTCAACCCCACTGAGAGCAGCCAGGAAAGGCCACGGCGTGAGGCCTCCCTGGCAAGCAAAGCGCCGAGCAGGGCGAGAGGGACCTTCTCGGGAAGCACCCACRCAAGCACCGGTGCCCACGGCATCCYGGCACGTTTCACAAGCCCAACACATCCACCCTGCTCCAGCGCCGCTGCAGACCTTCCACTAGGCTTGGACCTGACCTGCAAACACCTCGGCAGAGTGTCAGCAGCACACGCCGTTTCCTCCACAAGATCATTAGCTGGAAAACTGCAAATAAACCAACTCAGCCAACGCGGGCAGGCAGGTCCTGGGCAATGCCCCCAGTTGCGTTATTCAACCAAGGGGCTAACAGGAAGCTAGAAGAAGCTCTAGTGGCACCTGCAAACCTTATTTAGAGAGTTTCAGAATAGACAGGAAGCAAAATTTAAAAAGAAATACCCAAAATGCTGCTTCTGTCTCATGAGAACTTCARATTTCAAGCAAAACGTTTCACTTTCACCCAAAGCCTTGCAAAGTTTTTCATAAGAAAAACTTTGCCCCTAAAGTACCAGTCTAGTAATACAAATACTTGCCTGAGATGGAAAATATCAATTTAAGGTATTAGTCTGCAACAGAAAAAAAGACAACACTAACGTGCTGTGGTTCTTCTGTGGCATGAAGGACAGTCCCATACAGCACTCCTGCGTGGCTGCTCATTTACCCCTCATGTTTCATGAGCCCAAGTCTCATCCTGGCCCCAAGAAACTCTTCCAATAGGACTTGCCCATATGCAGCCCTCTTCCACAAAGCTTTTGTTTCGGTGCAGACGCATTTTCCAAACACAGGCATTTTTTGCTGGAAAACTCCTCAGCAGCTCCAGTGAACTCTGCTCTGTATGATACGAATCCTGCCCCATGCAAACATTCTTTAGAAAGTATCTTTTTTGGCGATCTTTGTTCCCGTAACACACACTGCAGCCCCATTTACAATACCTCCAATGGCTGGAGATAAGGGCAGGAAATGCCTCTCGGCATTCCACACACAGCGCTCCCACCCAGCTCCCTTTCCAGGCGCTTTTACCATTGTTTGCTGGAAGATGAACAAATATTTTCCAAAATACACCTGAAGCAGAAATAAGGGCCAAATTCTGCATGCTTACAAAAGCAAATAAACCGTATTTCAGTGCTTCCCTGTTTACCCAAGAACAGGAACATCTTTCTTCATGGAATTAGGAGTGCACCTTGGAAAGCAGCACAGGACACCGGGAATCATGAGGGAAGAAGTGTGGATTGCTCTGCTTGTCCATGTTTTAGCCTTCCTGCACACACCTCCCAGCAGCAAAGCCAGGGAGAGTTGGGCGGCCTGAGGAGGACAGCGAATGGAGGACAGGAGCTCCATGAACACAGATGCCTTCTGCTCACACATAAATCAGCTCATTCCTGACCACTTGAGAACCAAAACATTTGCAGATCAGCTAATAAAGGTCCAAAAGATCAGAGCGCTCTCCCAGAAGGGTACAGGTGAACTTCTCCCTCACCTGGATATTACTCTCCTAGCATGTTTCTGAGGACTAGTAGAGTCTCATGAAGCCTTTGACTCCAAGACTTTGACTCCATCAATCCAGCTGCTTGTTTTCAGATGACCTAGTTTCTTCACTGTACCACAAATATATGGCACACCAACTTGTCACTGCACAAACTGCTCACTCTAATTATAGCAGTTAGAGGGCCAAACATTTGTTTACCTGTGGAGCAGCACAGAAGTTGCTCGTGCGGGTGACTGTGGTTTGCAAGGCATTGCAGCTTGGTTTCTATTTTATTTAAGGAAAAAGCAAAGCGCTGCTCCTCATGCTTGATTCAGATCAGTTTCCATGAGCTCAGCAGTTCTGCCTGGAGAGGTGCAGAGCACATCCTGTGAACCACATGAGAACACAATGGGGACAATAATGCCTCTATTTTGGGGACCAAAAGGAAGGAGACGCTCACTATTGTATTGCGCTTGTGTCATCACCATTTTCAGAGTGCACCAGCAGAAGAGGGTCCACTCCAGCAGTGTCAAAAATCACTCCCTATAAAGGGAATACACATGTTAGCAAACAAACACTAAAATAAAAAAAAAAAGGGAGAAAGAAGTTTGCATTTCCTGCACACTTTACTGCACTTAATACAAGATTTGCCTAATCAAGATCAATCACCAGCTCTGTCTGCTGATGCCAGGGATGAGTGGAACCCTTGAAGCCAAGCAGCAGCTCCTAAGCCACCTAATGCTCTCTCCGGAGAAGCAAGTTCTCAGTCACTCCCCAAGCCATGTCACTGCAGAGCACATAAGTGCTGCCCTCTCTGCCAGGATGGGCACTGTCTTGCCAAGGTCTAGGCTGTTCCCTGCACCAGTCCGTGCTGCCTTCAGGAAAATAGGAAACCAAAGCTCTTTGCTCTCCTAATGATGGGAGAAGCAGACTGCAATTCCCACCTGGGACCGAGTTTCCTGGTCACCAAGGCAGGGGGCCTCCTTAGGAAGCCCAGAGCTTGAAGCCCGCACTGCTTTCCTTATTACAGCACTGCTTCCCTAACCTCCTGCCTCTTGGACAAGTGTTTCATTAGAGCACCTCGAACACTGACAGCACGGCAAGTTTTACCACCTAACAACTGTTGTAGTCTTACATGCTGGAAACAGAGGACCCCGCCACCAGCTCTTCCAAGTGACAAGAGGATCAGCTGCCAATGAAGACCCCAAGGCAGAGCAGACTGGGGAGAGGAACGCAGAGCACCCCGAGCTTTCCCAGACAGGCCTGCCCTGACAAGCAATCCAGGCTCTACAACACTGATGTTTTCCTCTGAAAGGCTACAGATTTCCTACAAATTTCAAAGAAAGGGGGGGAAAAAAGAAAAAGATGACTCTGCAGTGAAAGGCTGCAATGGTAGGCAATTCAAAATGCAGTGTTTCCTAGACCTGTGGAGGATTTTCTTTGGTTTATTGAAACTGAAATTTCTCTCATATGGACAGGCTGTCCTACCACCTTACCTAGACCTCTGTAGCGCAGCTGGGCACCAGCTGCTGTCTGTTCTGGGACGTCAGGGCCAACAGCAATGCTGCCCTCAGAAGACTGTGTCAAGGGACAGTCACATCTTGCCTACAGCTCAAGGCAGCACATTGAGCAATGGCTCAACAAACACCTAGGCAGGGCTTTCGAGATAACAGTTCAGTCAGCCCCTCTCGGGAGGTCAGGGGGATCCAGGAACAGGCAGATGGAAGCGAACAAGGTCACTTGTCTGAGTTCAGACACCGAAAGCACCACCCCAGCTGCAAGAACCATCTTGGGATGGTCCCCTCCCCTCCTGTTCTTGGGCTTGAGACAGCAGTGATTCCAAAGTGTCGCTTTGAGCTCCAGCTGTTGCTTTTGGGAACAAATTCTTCTTGCAGCTCATTGCAAAGCCCTAGAGCATCCCCAGTGAGCCACGCTGAAGAAGACTATGAGAATTGTTGCTGGCAATTGGCATTTTAGAAGCAAGCAGCTCTTCACCTAACTCATGGCTCCTACAGCCTTTCAGGTAGCACTCATTGAACACCACAGAAAAGAAGGGTGTCTCGTGAAGGTGAGAATGGCAGGATATATTATTTGGAAAGAAAAAAAAAAAAGAAAAAATCGCTCAAGACTCTTAGGGAGCACAACTCCTACGCACTGTGCCTTGCTGCAAAGAAGCGAGGGTTTAGAAGTCCTCTGGGTAAGAGATCTGATCAGAACTCGGGAGTTTCAGGAGAGATTCTTGGCTTTCCCATAGCTTTCTTGCATGCAAATAAGTAACTTAATCTGTGCCCCAATTATCTTCTTAAAGCGAAGCTCCTGCTCTGCCAGTCTGCAACAGAGGAGGTTGCTGCGTGGCGCAAAGGTAGGTTTGGTAGCGAACTGCAGATCATTTCCCCAGTTTAATGGAAACATCAAAATTTAAGGCTAACGTTCCCCAGAGGACTGAAACCATTTTGGTCTGGGCGTTTTATCTCTAGCTGCAGATAATCTCCCTCCATTCACTGAGCTCTTTCCCAGCAGTGGAAATGAAATACAAGCAAGAAGGAAAGAAGTGAAAACAGCAAGTCAAAAAAATCTCTTCTGAACTGATGACGGTAATAGAAAATTTTAAGTGCCTCATTCTTCTCTCCTCCCAACTGTTTCACTCTTAACAGTATCAGCAGCTGCTTCAAAAAAACCCCTTAGTATTTTCACTATATATTTCCTGTAAGTACTTAACACGGCACAACAGTCATTCCTTTTCCTATTGCTGTTTCAATCAGGTCTTACTTTCTTTGCTTCTTTAGCAAAGTCCTTCCATGCCGAGTGGTCCTCCCCCAGGAGAGGGCAGTTGGAAACACACTGCTCCAGCCAGTGGCACCTCGGTAACACCCAAAACAAATCGGGGGGCCGTTTCCACACAAATACATGCAGGCCAGGAAGCAGGGCCCTGGCACGAGCAGAGCAGAAGCACCTTTAGGTGCTGCCTGCAGCCACCACCGTGCTCACGACGTCCGATTTAGGAGCAAGGTGGCTAGTCCAAATCCCATCAAATGCTAGCACTTTTCATACACAAAACTCACCTTCCTTCATGCACTTCTTCCCCAAAGCTGCTCCTTAAGCCCTTGTGACATTGCAAAGCAGGAGGAAGATTTTAAAAAAAACCCTCAATCTAGAAAATAAGTAGGGCAAAAGCTTTTTTTTTTTTTTTTTTTTTTGCCAGTGTTCAACGTCTCTCTCTCAAGGCTGCTACTTTTCTACATTGAACTCTATTCACTGAGAGTTCTGTATATATATATATATTTTTAATGTTCATTACAAGTTTGGGGGTTCTCCCTCTCCAGCGAGCTGCAATAGCTCATTTGCATTGAATAGACCCACTTCAATTATACAGACAGGCAGCTTTCCTCAGAGGGAGAGCTGAGATCCATTCCCACACACTCCCCCTCCACCTCTGCATTCACAGTAGGCTCTTTCAGCTGAGACATTTSATATGAGGATTAGCTCCAACTCAGTAACCAGGCACACCTGGATGAGTGTGCAGACACCTCTAGGAACCTATTCCTCCAGGGTCRGATGCTTGGTATCCTCCTGCTTTTGGAGTACTAAAGCTCAGGTTGTCTTTTCCTTCAAGTTAGCAACCAGTGCAAAGCAAACGTGCTGTGCTTGTGGTGACCAGCTTGCCACTCTGCCATCCAGAGGAGCATCGAGCTCGAAATGTGATTCTGAACAGAGTTTGAAGCAGAAACCAAGTTTGGGGCTCAATTTTAAGCTATGTACCAAAACGAGTCAGCTCTTTTCAATGCAAAAGGGAAAACCTGTATTGAACAGCCTACTAAACAGCAGAGACCAAGCACTAATTGCATTGCTACATTTTTTCTTACAGTACGTCTTCACTTTCAAACAAATTTGAAGAATTTCAAGCAAATTCTTCTCCCGACCCCTTTAGCTGTACCAAGTCATGGGCCATGAAAACCAAGCTCATGAGCTCAAGGGCAGCACTGTAAGACTCTCAAGAAGACAATACTGAAGACAAGGAAATTTCATTCCTTCAAGGATTCATTACAAACCACTCCCTTCTCCCCTTCAAAGCATCCGCTCCCCCAAAAGCATCCGCTACCGAAGTTCATCTCCAGCAGCAGCCGAGCAGCAGGATCCCTGCCCTGAGGCAAGCGGGAAAGATCAGAACTGGATCTTGGTGCAAACACGGACTGAAGGGCTGGCTTCCCCTCACCCGCTCGCGTGCGGGCCCTTCTTCCAAGCCAGGCGGTTAAATATTGAAGGAAAACCATGTAGCAGCTCCGATTATGTGGAACAAAAATTAATTGAGGGCAGAAGTCTCCACTTGAGCTTTCCATTTATTTTTCCACAGCGCATTATGCCCGAGCGTGGGTTGCAATGCAGTCACCTGCAGGGAAAGCAGCCCACTGCGCCCGTGACAGTGACATTACCTGCTTTTATTTGTCTTTCTGGTTAAAGCTTCCGCTTTGGGGTTGTTTTATTTATTTATTTTTAAAGCAGCAGTGCCAACAGGCAGATGCGTGCACTGTTCCAAACCCGGATCCCTCTCCCTGCCATTTTAAGCTACACATTTGGAGCTCTGCAATTGGAAAAACAATAATTTCCCCCCAAAATAGACTCTATATAAGACACAGCAAAAACAAAATTCATTTTAGCAGACTCTCAGGACACTCTTACAAAAGCCCACACCCTTCCTTAAGAGCTAAGCGTCTGCCCCCTTGGTCTGCACACGGGTCTTGCTGACAAAAATCCTTCCATTGTTTAAAGCCATTTTGGCCCATGGAAAAAATACCGGGACCAGCCCTTCYCTGGCACAGAAACAAGGCAGATAAGCGAGCGCTTTTTCCACTCACAGTTTCTAGGGTACCTCAAGCTTTGCCAATGCTGGGAAAGGGTGGTAGCCACGTTTGTGCAGGCTCCCGRTTACCGACGTGCACGGGGCAAACGGCCTCGCTTTACGGGGGGATATCGGGGCTGCAAAGSGGTGGCACTAAATTGGGGTCCCATTTTCCCCCAGGTGCCTCTGGGAACACTACAGTGTTACACAGCTCCAAGATGTGCTTGGGGACACCAGCATTGCCTGCAGCAATTACAGTCCAGAGGGACTAAGCTGCCAAGAAAGGTTGTGGAGTCTCCTTCTCTGGAGATCTTCCAGACACACTTGGACCTAATCCTGTGCCACGTGCTCTAGGTGACCCTGTGTGTGCAGGGGGGCTGGACTAGATGATCTCCAGAGGTCCCTTCCAACCTTAAGGATTCTATGGACAGCAGCATCCCATAAAGCCTCCGCAAAGACCAGTATAGGGGAGGACGGGGCAGTGCACGTTGCGCTCGTGCTGTGAGATGATAGGGGCATGGGGCAGCCTGCGTATCAGGAGTGCTGCAAGGAGAGAGGTTTACAGAAAGATGATGTCCTGTCAATGACGTGGAGCTTTTAACTGCTTCTACGGTTGGCCTGGACGCGCCTGAAACGATTTGGAAGCTTCTGCTGCACCTCTGACAGGAGGAATATTGATTCTGTGGGAGAGTTAAGAGAAGCTGCT